GACCAATCCTCATGCAATCATCCATTTATTCAGCTTTGACCGTTTCAAATTTCGTCAAGATCATTTCTATCGCGTTTAAAGTCTACTCTTCTTACTTATTTTGACTTCTATATAAATTAGGCCATTGTTTCCTATAAGACAAAAGATTTTACTGGAATATACTAATTTTTATTACTGTAAATAGGTACGGTTTCTTGTCACAAAAATCTTCATGGGCTGGGATACTTTTTCTTCTTTCCCGTTTGCGTGTCTATTCGCCTTTCCAAAATCATCGCAGCTATTTACTCCCTCTCTTCCTTCTTTTGCAGATATTTTTCGTTATATTTCTTCTCTAGAAATACGAAATCCACTCTTGACTTCTTCCTTACATGCTTCTACTTTCAATTTCCCGTCATTAATCCCTTCTTCCCCAGCTACTCAGCAGTCTGAAGCCGGGGGCTGCAGCCACTCCACCAAACGAAAATGAGAAGCCACTAACACCAGTTTGTTGTCATGATTCTTGTTTATCTCTCGAACATCCTCCACCCCTGCGAACAAGTAAAATTTCGGGTTTTCTCTGATTTTTGATCTACAGAAGGTAATTTTCTCAAAAATCTGGCGTAAAAGAGCCTTCAAAAGATCTTGTTTCCATGGCCTGGAACTTTATTGATAGCATTTTATTAGGTTTCTCTTTGCTTTTCTACGCCATGCTATCCTATCTACTCTCCTTTCCCCATTTTTTCGCTCTCAAAAATTGATTAGTTGATTTTCTCCCGTCATTCAAATTGACAAATGTTCACTTCGGATTCTCTTGACTATTCCGCCACCCGTTGTGAGAGAGAGAGCGGAAAGCCCTATGTCGAGCTCTTTGATGAGATTTTTTCGCCCTTGGGCAGGTGTATTTGAGAGTGGGGAAACGAATTGGTTCAATACATGTGCCAGCCGGCTATTACATGACTTTCATCGCCGTTGGAAGTGAGAGACTAGCAGTAAGGGATTTCGACACTTTAGGCGGAGGGGGGGGGGTATTTAAAGCCTAAAAATCTCTCAATCAGACTATAAATTAGAAATTTCTTCGACTGTATAAGTATCAAAAATTTCTTGCCGTTTTGAACAGCTCAGCCATTTTTCCTTTTCCAAAGAAATTCTTGTTCATGAGGGCACTCAATAATTTGTTCACAATGTGGAGGGGCAGGGGGGAGGGGGGGGGGGAGTGAGGCTTCACTAGTTTAGGAAATCTCACTCAAAAGGATTTTATGGTTTAGTGAATATCAAAAAAATTTTTACCAATAACAGCTTTGCATTTTTCCGCTCAATTTCCGTAAAATTTCCTGTTTCATGATTTTGGTAAAAGTCCAAAGCCCGTAATCCTTCGTTCGCTTTCATGAGCATTTCCTCAATGAAATGAGTATCAAAAAGATCAAAGTTTGGACAGTTCAGTGTTTTTTCCTATATTTTTTGCAGAATTTTCCGAAAAATCACGCAAGTACTGAAAATTGCAAGACTGTGGTTTTTTGAGTTTTTTTCCTTACGAGTTCCTTTTGCAACTGAGAGAATATTTTACTGCTTTGTACTTCCAAGAAAGTTATTTTTGGCTCACTCATCTTGCACGGAAATACCTACTTATTTCCAGAAAAAAAGTATTCCACTGGAATTAGCTCGTGCTACCAATTTTCTTACGGAAAAACTATAAAAAGTCTGTATGAATCCACCATCATAGAATTTTTCCCGTTTTCTACCCGCACTTGAAAAATGGTGTTTATCAATGTATGTCACTCAAATAAGTACGAGTGCATGCTCTAGTCTGTTAGAAATTTTGATTACGTTTTTCAAAAAAATGTTAGCAATGCAATTTTTGAGTCGTCCAGTTTATTGAGTAATCCCCGACAAACTTTCACTGGAAAGTTTGCTTTTTACCCTAGACAGTAATTTTTTTTCATTTTTGACTTGTGCTGTCCTTTCGTTACCATCAAAGCCGTATCATACTAGAAAAATTCTTATCTAGCCAAATTTCACGCTTGATTTCATGCTTCCACCTTAAACTTTCACTTTTGATGACCCTCGATATCGCTATCACTTTTTTCTTACATAAGCTGTTTGCATGCGTCATCACTGCATGTCTGCAGATTTGTTAGTAGTTATGACTGAGTTTTTTTTATTCACACACTTTGTTTATTCGGTTTTGAGAGAAATGTAGGCACTGTTTATTATTTCTTGATCTAGCCAGTCATAATAAGTGTTACACAAATTAGCAGCGAACATCATCACAAATTACAAAGTATTTTGCATCATGAGTGTACTTGTCTTCATGAGTGTCCTCCTATCTTCATCTCTCTTTAGTACTTGTCTTCTTCAAAAATTTCGGTTAAACCTGAGAAGTTTCTTTTTTTCTTTGTTTTTTTTTCGCCTTCTTTGTATATAGGATCCTATCACCTTAGATTATCTCTATTTATCTCACCTCGTTCCCAGTATTTGTAGCGAATGAATCAAGCGTTAACGAGCGAATGAACGAGTGGTTGAGTAAGTTCTAGGAAAACCCTCAATCTAATGAATTGAAAAAGTTGGAAATGTTTTCGACCAGCGTCTCACACTGATCCAACAGACAAACATAACTGACGCTTTTGTTGCACAATTTAGCATTGCAAACAACCTACCTGTTCTTTTACATAACTCATGAAGCAGGAGATTTCATGATGAAAAAGATTGCTGAGCATCTCAACTTGAGATTTGTTTTGTAGCTCACATTGAAAAATAATTTAGCAACTTTGTTGTTGTAAAAATCAATTTTGTTTGTTGTTGTTAGTTATTTTTGTTTGGATATTTTGTTATTCGCCCAATTTATTATATTTTCTCAATATCCATTGTAATTTTTCTTTTTGTATACTTCTTTGTTTTAAAGGAAAATTTCTTCTTCGAGTCGGCAAAATTTTTGTTCGACACTCATGAGTTTTCCATTTGTCTTTGTATTTTTCTGCCACCATTCTTCCCTTCCTCACTTGACAAACGATACTTTTCACATATCACCTTTTTATAATCCTACTCCATGTAGCTTATATACCGGAGAATCTCATATCTGTTGCCCTTTTCGATAAATCGTGAAAAGAAAATTCTAGAAATGAAAAAAAAATTGCTGAGCTATCACAGTTTCTAAAAAATTTTCTGAATGCTCATTCAACCACAGATAAGTGCAATCTTGTATTTATTTGTTTTTTTATTTATCCAATTAACTAAGTACATTTACGTGAATGCTAAAAGAAAATGTTCAAAAAAAGAACTACTGATGGTATTTTGCACAAGAAATCAATTTTATATTTTCCGGTCAGTGTCCTCAAATTTTTAGAAAATTTCGTGCTTCATGAATCAATGAAAAGGGCACGACCTCTGATAAATCGTTCGTAAAGCGTTTCCACGCATATCGTTTCCTTTGTGCTCACAAATCTCCTCCTCACTATTTATCCCATGTCGGGACCTGACTCATTACTTGGCTACGATCCAATAGGGTATGAGTGTCGCGAGCGCGTAATCCTTTGTATTTCTAGCTCTGCACGCACTTAAAAACACAAACAGCCATATACGCGCTGCATTCTGCTCCATTTTTGTCATGTCGTTGCCCTTTTGAGCTTATGTGAGGGGTGATTTTGACGACACATCGCATTAGCCTCGATTTCAATTCGTGTCGGGTTTTCGTGCGCATTTTCTGACTGCCGGGTGTGATGATTTCGGCAGTCAGACAACAATGGACGAGTTAACGACACATCTACAATGTGCTTATTTTGTCCCCGGGAGCGGGGTTCGGGAACGAAATAAAAAACGCAAAGGGTATAATTTTTATCACCATAATTGTCACTTCCAGCTTACCTTAAAAATTTATGCTTTGCGTTTCCCGCCCCCATGGGTGAGAAGCACCAAGCAAACCAGCGCTCATCGGGTCTTTCCCCCCCCCCCCTCCCCTCCCCCCCCCCCGCCACCGTTATCGACACCTCTTCGTAATCCACTTAATCCACTCTGGACGCCAGACTTTCGTCGTCCCCACCATCGCCCCTGGAGGTGCCAGAGGCCAATGAACTCGCGCAATTGTTTACCTATCGTCAAGTTTACTTATGTATGGCTTCCTGGCCTCCGGAGCAGCCATAGGATTAGCGCCAGCATTCGTAATGAGTTTGTTGTGCTCAATATTATGGACTTGTGAACGAGTTTCCTCATAATATTTTCTACTTATTAATTTTGTAAATACAGACTAGTGACGATAATATCTTGCAAACATTTGAAGAGTTATCCCAAGGTAAATTAAATTTGGGGCTCCATTTTGTTTTTCTTGGTTATGAAAATGGAAATATCTAAAGAGAATCTGACAATTAGTTTGAGGTAGAAAAAACTTACTTGAGGCTTGTGCATATGGCTTTTCCATTTGCTTATTCATGCTCATAATTAAAGATATCGCGGATTCAAACAATCACATGATTATTTATTTATTTTTCGAATTTTTTATTTATCTATATTTATCCAGTTACCACTTCATTCCTTCACTCACTCATTCATCCATTTATTTATTCATTCATCGTTCATTCATTCCAATTATTTATTTATTTATTCATTCAGACATTCATTATTCATTTATTCATTCACATGTTCATTCATTCATTTTTCCTTTTTTCCTCCCATCCCTCATTTCTTTCACACTGGATTCAGCTTTCTCCCAACTCTTCGTTTCTTCTTATTTGATCTATTATTTACTGTCATCGATCGAAATCTGGAACATGATTCGTCACATTATTCTTTTCCTGTTTCATTGAACCAATATAAAATTTCACCAAAGAATGGGTTGATACGCTCTGTGGGTATTTGATACCTGTCTATTTGAACCTCTTCGGAGTTCCACTGTTCAGCCAGTTTTATGCAAAATTATTCATCTTCATTTGTTTCCATCTCCACATCAACTTATTGATTTATTATATTTGTTCGTAGTACAGAGTTTTCTTGGCACTCTTCGTTTTTCCAAGAATTTCACTGTCATTCCTTTGCAGTAGATGCCATGGAGGAGGAGCTAAAGTGTTCACAATGTCGAAAATTTTTCGAAGATCCTATTTTACTCCTCTGTGGTCATAGCTATTGTAGGCGATGTGCCTTAAAGGTTGGTTTTACTTTTTTAACTATTATTTTTTACTTTAACGTGCCGAAAATAGTAGGTGTACGTAGAATTTTTAATCACATATCTCTTACAAGTGCATCTGTAATCTTTGGCTTTTTTCCAGTCGTTTGCAGCTTTTTTTACCACCTGGGGGTAAAAAAATGAAAGGCCAGGCGTAAAACACAAAGCTTGCGGCCGTGCTTAGTGAAATGAATGGGTTTTTGAGGGGGGGGGGCGTAAAGGAGGGACATACATGCTTGAAGAAAAGACTGAAAATAGCATTTTTTTCACCTGTTTGTCCTTTCACGGAAGTAAGTACTTAGATTGTGCGTAATTGTATCAAATGCAAGGATTTGTATATAAGGAATTCTGAAACGATTTCCAATCGCTGGCATCCTGCCAATTTTTCTTAAACATCAATTTTTAGGCTCAACAACCCTCTTCTTCCGTTCGACCGGCGACTCCACTTGCGCCACCCGCACATTTTCCGCAAATCCTCTCCTCATCTCCTCTCTCGCCTCATTGCAGTAGTAGTGGTAAGCAGGCGTTTATTTATTGATTGGTATTGATCGATTTAACTTTTTAGGTGCTTCGGATACGATCTCTGTTTGTATATCCGATCCTGACCATGACAGTGATAAGATGTCCGTCTTATCAGAAGCTGACTCTGGTGTTGTGTGTAGTCGAAGTGAGCGGGTTTTTCAGAGTTTCCGGATGATTATTGATTTTTCTGAGAATTATCGGAATTTTTTTTAGCTTCCCGACCATCCTCTATGGTTGGCCCACCCATTCCACGAATACCTAGCATTTTAACTCCATCAACAAGTGGAGTTATCATTTCCTGCGGTGAGAATTCTTCTATTTTTCTTTTTGCTCCCTTCCCGCCCACTTTAAATGAAAATGAATTTTCACAGGTGTTTGTCAAAAGCCGTCATATTACTCGGATGAAGTCGCAATATCGAATGCACCGACAAATATGGCAATACAAAATGTGATCTCACGTTATTTTGCACAACATCCACAACTTGCACCAAAAGATCCGAAACCGACGTCGGATGAAGTGAAAAAGGAACCAAATTGTCAGGTAAGGCATGACTTTTTTCTTCATTTTGCGGTTGCAAAAATAATTTTTTCACATTTTCCCGGCTTTTCGGTAAGAGGAAAAACCATCAGAAATCTTTCTAGTATATAATTTCGCTCAAATACCCAGCAGTGAACGTTCTTTGTGTGCTATTGACGTGCTAGTCGTTACGGGATACTCTTTCTCTTTCACTGTTTATTTATTACATGCAGAAAACAATTTCGGCCTGGAAAACTGGAAAATTGTGGCTTTTTGACTTTTCAGAGGGGGAGAAGCCCTTTCTGGAGCGAGAAAGCTGGCAAATTATGGTGTTATAGAGCGCAAAAAATGATTGGTTTCCTGCCAAAATTTTACAACTATGCCAAAATTTCGTTTTCAGTACTGATTATGAATCTTTCAGCTATGTGAAGAGAATATCAAACCAGCTACTGTGTACTGTGAACAATGTGATATTTTTTATTGCCAACCCTGCCAAGTAGCCCTGCATCCGGCACGGGGGCCACTGGCCAAACATACCTTGGTTAGCGCAGCCCAAAGGTGGGCTATATTTTTTTCATTTTCTAAATTCGGAGTTCACTTGAAATTGCTTTCATGTCACTTCATAGTAGTTGATAAAGAGAATTTTCCAAAATAAAAAATCACGGTAGAAGTTGATTTTCAGCGTTTTTCAAACATTTTTTTCACGTAGCTATTCATTCTGTGCACTTTTGCGTAGATTTGATTGTATGCCCCGTGTTTTTCTCCCTAATTGGGCTCCTATGCATTTTTTTGAATCTTGAAGCTATTGAAAGTTCTATTGGAACTATTTCGGATTAATTTGGTATTGTAAGGGAACCTAGCACATTATTCTATTTGTCCCACAGTACCCCTCAGCACTTCTGCACATCATTTTTTACCGTATATCTGTTTTACACCTCCCCCAAAAACTCCTATTTGTCATTTTTCACTCCACTAACAATCTCATTTATCCGAAGTACTCATTAGCCATTAGGCCATTAGCCTCCTTCCTTTTTGCACAGACCGGTTTTTATGCTGGCAACTAAGCAACGATGTGTGTAAACTGTGCATTTGCAGACGTACCACTCCGACACGGACCATTAAAGATTTGCGATGTTCACAGCACAAAGGCGAAGCGTTGACGATGTTTTGTTTAGTATGCAAAACAGCAGTGTGTTGTCTGTGTTTACAGGTTGGTTTCGGTTTTTGAATGGGTTTTGTATGACGAGTGAAACGGGAGATTTATCGGAGTTTATTTTTCTAAAAAGAACGTTTAAAGTTGCCATAAATTACAGATTCCCTGACAAGTGGTGCAGTAAAACAGAATTTTGGCAATTCGCCAGAACTTCTCCTCTCTTTTCCGCCACAATCTCTTCCGAAATTACTCCGTCGCTATGATAGCATGTGCAGCAAGGGCCATTAGCCACAGCGTGCACCAAAACTCGTCCATGTTTTTCTGACATAGTAAAAGACGAGTTTACTGGAAGCATTATGCGAAAGTGCTGTATATAGTTTTACAAGACCCTCTCCCTCATTAGTGTTACACGAACAAAAAGAGGGTACACATGTTCAGCAAATGGTAGAGCTTTTCTTATTTGCAGTTTGAGGAGAACTAGTAGCTCTGGTATTTTAGCAAATGTAAATAAATTAACAACTAAGCAAACGAGACATGAAATGTTTTTGTTTAAAAACAGCTTTAGCCGATCTTTAGCGGTAAGAATGAGATTTCGATAAAAATTTATTATTCTACTATCATTATCTTGATATATGAGCCCAAAATATGGTATAACAGATGGAAATTTTCAATTAAATTCGAATCAGTTATATGAATAATTTGGAGTTGACAAGTAATATGAATAGTATTGCAATTTACTCTTGGGATTTTGGAGATACGAGACAGTATTGTTGCGAAAATCACTTCTTCAAATGCTTCAGAAAATAGACAAGACAAAGTTGCTACATTCATCTGTTCCAATGAAAGAAAAAAAAACCAAGGGTTTAAGACAGACTTGCAAATCATTTGAAACCGAAACTTTTTCGAAATCTACTTAATATGTGCGATGAATGAAGCCGGAAACTTTTCGATAAGTTTCAAAACTTTACCGTTTCATGAAGTCGACATTATTAGTATGTAAAAGTTGGGAAACTGCGATTGCAGCAAAAACTTTGAGAAGCAGCAAAAAAGTTCATGCTCCCTCTTCCTCCTCTTTTCGGAATTACTCTACGAAAATTTGACGAATTTTTACCGTTCCTTGCTTGGAAAATAAAGTTTTAGTTTACTTATGATCTTAAATTTCTACTAATGAATCAAAGCATTTTTTCTATTCATGCCCTTTCCTTCACCTAATCTCATTCATTCAGGAAGTGAAGCACTCAAGTCATGACGTTCAAGCACTATCAGCAACGTGCAAAGCGCAGAAGGTGAGTACTTCCAGCTAATTTGCAAGAAATCTCATTTATTCGATTATTTACCCCCCCCCCCCCATCCCTCTCATCTGCTAAAATCTTTTGCAGGAGTGCAACTTTCCTCTCAGGTCCCTAGTGGGTAATAAAACGGAGTCGTATTCTGTGCATATAGAGAGGAGTTTCACTCCTCATTTGCGCCTTTTCGTATCGGCGACTAACGGCCCTTCATGGGGCTTCATGGCCCTATGAATCCGCTGGCGACGTCTCCTCCTCTTCGAAATGACTTCGCAGTGAGGAATCGGAGAGCCGCCTCGTAACTCTTGAAATATGGCCGTACTTATGGGGAACACACACGAATGCAAAATGAGAATATAGCTGGTCATATGTGTATATATGCAGCGCTATATAGCCTGCTTATGCTAGGATTTATTAAACGGAAAGGGAAAGGGGAAGCTGGAGGGGGTCGACGAAAGTGCAGACGGTAGCGAAACTACATGAAAAGTTGTTCTTTCATGTACTAGTAATTTATGCTACTTGAAACTTGAAAAGTACGATTTTTTGCAATCCAGTCCGTTTTCATGTTGCCTGTTTGCGCTGATTGATGTTGGGGCAATTTTTGCTATCAGGACACATTTTTTCACATATTCGTTGTCACTTTATTTTCACGAAAAGTCTACACCTTTCCATTAGCTTAGATCGAAGGACTTTCTGCAGAGCAGATCCATTGTCCTAGCTGTCTTTTTATGCTCAATGGTTTTTGCTTTTGTGTCAGATATTTTCCACTTGGACACTATATTCACAATAATAAATTTATGTCGATTCGTTAAGAAATGCACTGTATGTTGGCAAGCCACGCCATTTTCGAAGTCAAACTACACATGTCGACCTTGGGGCACGGATTATCACTGGGTCAGCAAAGGTTATTGAGCAGAGGGTCCTGCAATAATGCCTGGAATTTACTATCAAGCAGCTGCAAGTGCAAAAATAAAGCGCTTCAACTTTGCACTTTTTAGTGGTTAGCGGAGCAGGTAGTTATCCATGGGTCAGCTTTTTGTCAGTTGTGAAATCTTCAACTAATTAAAGGTGCTTTTAAAAACTGAAGCCCGTTTTATTTTGAATGCGTTTATTTTTACACTTTTACTGTATTATTGTAGTTTGAGCGACCATTGAGTAATCATTTACCAACTCGTATCTGGACAATCGCAATGAAGGGCCGCTCGCATTCGGCTTTTACCCACAGAGCATAACTTTATCATTGGGTCATCAAATCATCTACTTGTGCTACTCTTTCTCTTTCTAATCTCTTACTCGTCTTCTTTTTCCGAATTATTGCCCTCCTCCAGGCCTCGTCCATGTCTCTTTCCGCTTATAATCCCCGCAGTGGCAGCTCTTTTTGTGCCATTCAAGTGGATAATGGGACCCTGACGTGAGGGAGTCCAGAAAACAAATCGTTTCTAATGGGAGAAGGTCAGATTCCATTGGGACGCACGTCGAGAGCCTAACGGACACTAATTTCCTCGTCATCTCATGTTACTACGAGGGTCGCGTCGAGATTCCTCCGGGCCTGGGGGCGAGTAAACAAGTTGATAAACAACTTGTTGTCGTTACGAGTAAGTAATTCTTTTGCAGACAGCCTCAGGGCGTCATTGATGGATTTCACGATGATCAGGGGGAAGTAAGAGGCCATAAATCCTGGGTAGATGTTATGAGGTGTGGCAATAAATGCGCTCCAGCAGTAATTACGGGTTACCAGGGTGGTGCATAGGTGAAATGGCGTTAATACGCCCGTAATGACCTATTGGAACGTCCGTCCTGGAACGCACTCAGCCCCGGTAAATAGATCCACCCGGGTAAATGAAGTGAGCACTCTTGGGGCCCTAATTGGTTCGTAGAATCCTAAAATCCCATCAGAATTCCGCTAGGGACTAATAAAACTGTGCAGTAATGCGGCTATTGCTCTATGGCGAAAATGTGGTCCACGGCGTCAAATTAGCCTCGGGCAAATTGCGCTTCTCTTGCTGTTTTCACTTCTTCTTCGATATAGCGTGAGCTCTGCTACTTAGTGAGCGGTCGACTCGGACTCAGACTACTCTCCTCAGGCAGCCTAATGGGTCCGAGAGTCGTGGGGCTAATAAAGGACCTCTCCTTCGTGGAGAGTGTACACTTACATTCCTGCAACAGATGATCCAGGAGGGAGCGGGAGGGGAATAATGAGAGGGGAAAAGGAGCATTTTTAGAGGAATCGGGGTTTTTTGGATCACTTTGGGAGAATTAGCTGTTAGTGGTTATTAGCTTGACCATTAGTTTACAGCAGTGACGGTCTCAGAATTTTTTCGGGGGGGGGGGAAGGGGAGCGACAGAATCTTTTGTCAAAAATTTTTTTGCAAAACTGACATGAATTTACGGAATTTTTTGAAAACTTATTTTGATTATTTACAGGCGCAAGACACCATAATTTTATAACTCATGTAAGTAACCAAAAATTCGCCCTCTCCCCCCCCCCCCCCCCACTCTCTCTTCTCCCTCCAGTCCATAATTTCTCCTGTACTAGGTGGGGAAAGTACCAAACCATCCGAACACTGTACTATAGCATGTGCTAAAGCTCATCAATCATCCCCCTCTCCCCACTGCGAAAAAAATTAACCTGTACCAGAAGATTAGCTACTGGTTCATCCGAATATAGCTACTTCTAAGGGTTCCTTCTCTCCTCACTCTTCAAGAAAATTGCTTCTTTTACTCTTTTCCCGTTATCCTTCTTCTAACCTCCCGCTTTCTTCTCCCATTCCCTCAACATCTATGCAGCTCAAAAACTTTTTACTAGGTTTCCAACGTTTCCACGAGCGGAAGCTTTTGGGCTATTTTCCCATCAGAACCTCCTTTTTACCTAAGTACAGCTTTTATTCAGCTATAACAACTTGCGGCGTATCGCATTTCCATTTATGGCAATTTTCCCTAGTAGTCTAGCGGGGATTTCTTTTGTGAGAATGTTGGAATTATGTGATGGAAATCGCCCTTGAAATAGCGTGAGAACAAATGGGTACGATGCTATGGGTTGCGGTAGAAAAAGATCTGAAAATACGAGTGGACGGATGGGGGAGAAAAATAATTGGAGAATGAGTAGGTGATCGAAGTATGGTGAATGTAAGGAATGAGAAAAGGTAGAATGAATGGATAATGAATAAGCGAGTAATATACAGGGTGTCCCAAAAGTATGTATCGAACGTTTGATCGTTAATATCTCTCTTCCCAAGAAGTCTTTTGCCTTGCTTCAGGTACCGTTTTGTAGAGCTGGCTTCAACTTAGATTTGCATTGTAGAACGAATCACTCCTCTCTCTTCATTACTGTAGGATTACGGTAGAAACTTCAAAGAGGGTTTTGAGCCATGAAAGGCCATATTTTGCCACAGAAAGGAAACAAACAGTTTGAAAACTTTTATGCTAGGCTAATTAGAGTTGCTGATTATAACTGTAAAGTTCCCAACTTATTATGATGCTTCATTGAAGAGTTATGCCAGGTAAGAAGTAGCGGCCATTTTTTCAATGTTCCTAAAAAGTGGGATTGCACCGTTTAGAAAGCTTCGTAATCTTGTGAATAGTTGATTATTGAACTCAGCGTCCATAAAAACCCTATTACACAAGTTTTCACGATTTTTTGAAAAATTTTGAAACGGCAGCTTTTTTCACATTAACACCATATGTTTCAAGTTTCTACCGTAATCCTACAGTAATGAAGAGAGATGAATGATTCGTTCTATAATGCAAATCTAAGTTGAAGCCAGCTCTACAAAATGGTACCTAAAGCAAGGCAAAAGACTTCTTGGGAAGAGAGATATTAACGATCAAACGTTCGATACATACTTTTGGGACACCCTGTATGATTATGTGAGAATTTGATTGATTTACCGTATTCCTGCATGCCAGGGACCGTATATCAGTACCGTAATACTAGGGATAACTACGATATAAGAATTCTCATCATTCTCTTTAATCTTAATAAAGTAGGATGTCCGTTCCATTTATCCCATTGTCCATTTATTTATTTATTTATTTATTTATTTATTTATTTATACTTTACTATACATATGTGGAAGTCTAGAGGTAAATTAAAAATAAATTCTGATGAGTTTCACTTAGAGATAAAGATAATGAATGATGAATGAATGGATGAGAAAAAAGATAGAGATGAATGAATAAGCAAATGAGTGAAGAAAAAGGTTGTTTTGATTAATTTCTTGCTTCCACTTCTCCCATCTGTTTGAAATCCATTGAGGGAGGGGGGGGGGGTACCTATCAGAATTTCTGATCGCGCGATGTGTTACCATTGTGATTAGAGTTCATCGCCCGATCGGGTGCTCGTTTCTAAGGTTAAACAGCTCCCGATCAGACACCTCTCCGAAAGATTGTTAAAAGCCGCCACTGGCACAACTGTATTATGTTTCTTCATAGAATCCTGCAATCTAATACTTTCTTCCAAACGTAACTCGCTATAAAATTCTCTATGAAAGTTTCAAATTTCCCCCCGCAATCGATATCTATCTATACAACTCCGTGCCTACCCAAAAATTCACCCGCATCCTTTGTTGGCATAGGGTTGGTATCGAGGATCAGATTGCCATGTATGTCTATGTACACAATGAGGCTAACTCTGCAACATACATAGCTTTCGTTTGCATAAGAAATCTCAGCTACTCGCTTTCCCGTTTGAATGTCGAGGGAACTCGTCCACTTCCGCTGTACAACACGAAATGAACACCGAGAGGGTGACAAGCCGGTGACGACACGGGACAAGACGGCTTGACCTCCTGCTGTTCGTTCCGGCACATCTCGTCCGCAGCTTATGCGGGGGGAGGAGGGGGAGGGGGTCTGTTCACCTGTCACATCCAACACATCACACATCTCGTACGATTAGCCCATAATCTATGGTTCTATGTGGCCTACGAAAATATCCGATTTCGTGAGGAACATGGGGCAAGTGGTGTGGGTTGGTGGGGATTGGTGATGCTTGGAGTGGATTG